GGGCACAATCAGCTTTCTTTACCACACATGCTTATGCACACATTTGTCTTCAGTGATTGTGTCGGGAAGGTGAGCATCATGGAATGTCAGTTTAATAGAATAAAGTGTTCTTGCATTGAGGGAGTACTTGCGTGGAGGCCCAATGTCTATCTGCTACCGTAATACTAAACCTATAAATATATGCACACAGATCTATTTCCCCATCATCATATATATATTTACTTATGTACATGCCTGTATTTAGGCCTCTGTAAATGCCCTTTGCCTCCTAGTTCTTTCCTCTTGTCCCACTATCATGCTCAGTCTTCATTTGGGTTTCAACAATTCCTCTCGGTTACATTGCCCTTGATCACTCCCTACCAGTCCTCCCACCCACTCCTTGCCACTGGTTTTGAATCACTCGTTGTTCCCTTGTCCCTGGGTTGGTTAACACCACTTCCTTTCCCCCACTTTCCTCTCTCCAGTGTCCCCACCCCTCACCCCCACCCCAACCTGGAACCATCACTCCTGTTGTTTTCTTCTCCACATTGTTTATCCAGCCTATCTTATCTAGATAGATCTGCAGCGATGATGATATGCACATAAAAACAAGAACAAAACAATGACAGCAACAACAAAAAAACCAAATGACAATCAAAAACAACAAAAAAAATGCCTGTAAATAGTTCAAAGTCTGTTTGTTGACCCTTAGGGGTGTTTTCTGGTCGGGTGTGATGGGGTGCCATGCCCTGGCCCCAAAGTCTATTTTTGATACTCCCTCAGGACATCCTTGCTGTGCTCCCCTTGCTGTTCTGTTGCACGCCCTTAATGTTTTGCCTGTGTGGTGGGGTCAGCTTGGGCACAAATCCCACACTGGGTCTCCAGTGTTGTCCCATGTATGGCTATGGGTCAGTGCGGGATGTCGTGTCTCCTGTCTCATAGTGGGGCCGGCCATATGGTCCTCTGTGCATTGGCTGCTCTAAGCAGGGCTAGCTGGGCCAGGGTGTGCTCCACTCCCTTCCTCGGCTTCCGCTTCTGTCTGGGGAGGGTAGTTCAGTTCCTTTCCCTCAGCAGAAGGTCTGTTCTTCTCTGTGGCATACCCTTCCATGGTGGGGGTCAGGCTGATTCTGGTTGGGGCTGGCTCTATAGTCCAGTCTTTTTATAGACCTCTGCGTGTTACATTGCCCTCCTGGTTTGGTGTCCTGGTGGGGTCTCTCTGCACATTCCAATACTGTGGGGACACAACCAACACTCTCCCCCTGGGTAGGTTAGTGCCCTGTTCCCCCCATGTCATCTGTTCCCCCACCCCCACCCCATTCTCCCTCCTCCTTCCCCCTTTGCCCTTCTTTATCATGGACTCACATGTGACTCACATGTACCTCCCTGGGTTTGGTCCGACCTCCCCGACTACCTATGCTTTCACCCGTGTACTGCGAGGTAAGTGTCTATTCTATTCCTGCAATGCTGATTGTACTCACCTCAGGGGACTCAGGTTCTACCTTTGACGAAAGTATTAATGAAGAGTACTTCGAAGGTGTTAAGGCTGTTTTGTAAAAAATGTAGACATTGTTTTAGAAAAAATAACTTGTCTTAGGTTCCCTTTTCTTGACAAAAGAAAACAGTGAGACACAATGTCCCTCAAGCCAATGAAGCCATGGTGGAAGGACAGCGAAGGACTGCTGGTTCAGAACCACTCCTTGTTACTCTGATAGCGAAGACTGGAGGGCCTGATCCATAGATTACATTCTAGAAAACCCTGTCACGCAGCCCAGCTGTCACCCAGGGTGGCTGTGAGTGTGCATGGACACCAGAGTACCTAACAATAAAAACAGCAGCCATCACGGACCGTGCTCCACCGGAACCACCACCTGTGCTGGGGGTCCTCCGTGACAATGAAAGTGGCTGATTGCTGGGCTGTTCATGGAAAGGTGGTAGTTGGAACCCCTGGTCATTCCCCAGGACAAGGCTGACGCTGCCCGCTCCCGAAAAGCTTTAGTCTTGGACGCCCCATGGTGACACACACTCTGTCCTCCACAGTGGGGCACTAGGAGCTGGAATGAACTCAGTGGCAGTGGGCTGGTTTTAAATAATCATGGGAAGGAGTGAAAGAGTGCTTGGCTACTAACGGAAAGGTTGGCAGGTGCAATCTACTAGCTGCTTTACGAAGAAACTCTAACAAACAAAACCTCTGCCATCGAGTCAAAGCTAACGCATAGCGACCCTATAGAACAAGGCAGAAGTACCCCTGTGGCTTTCTGAGACTGTAACGCTTCATGGGAGTAGAAAGTCTCTGCTTTTTCCAAGGAGCAGCTGGTTTTGAACCGCTGACCTTGTGGTTAACAGTCCAACACGTAACCCCCTACACTGCTGGTTCTATTCTGCCTGAAATCTGTTCTGAATCGGCATCAACTTGACCACAAAGTTTTGTATTATATGAGTCACTGGGTGGTGCAAGTGATTAACACATTTGGTTGCCAGTCAAACGGTTGAAGTCCAAATCCACCCAGAGGTGCCTCAGAAGCAAGCCTTGGTAGACGACTGCCAAACAGGCCACTGCAAACTTTATGGAGCATGCTTCTACACTGACGTGACCGCACTG